GATCTAATCTTTAAAATTGTACTCTGCAAGTCAAATGTCACTAAATGTAATTTTACAAGACTAATCAAAAAACGATTCTCCACGTTCCGCAAATGATCCCACAAAAATAAAAACTGCAAAAACTATACATCTACTTCAAAAAGAAGCTGCAAAAACTTTACCATAACACTTGACCCTTAGAATATTGTCACCTACAAAGAGGACCATCCCAATAGTCACAAAACTGAAGAAAGAACTAGTTAATTATCAACACACATAAAGCCCGATTTTAAGAAACCACCCATGCGATTAACAGCTGCTAAACTATAGTTCTTTTAAAAGTACAGCAACTGTCAAAAAAAGCGATACCATAACAAACTAAAGCATTAAAGAACCGATGAGAAATAAGACTGAAGAATAATGTCGTAATCATTTATTCATTTAATTTTTTTCCTCAAAGATTAAATTTGCTGCTAACTGTAGAACAAATAAGCAATAAAAACGAAAGAGTGCTAGCGAAGTGTCTCCGAGTGGTAAATTTTTGAGTTTTTTTAACGCTTCATACCCTTTCAAACTTATACAATAAGAGCTGATGATAATGGATCATCTTCCCAGAACGAAAAAGATTATTCAGTGGGAAAATCAAATAGTGTTAAGAGGCGAAAAAAGAAAAAAAAAAACAGAGAAGGAAAAATGGCAACGAACAACATTAAGGCTACCAATTGTGTCATCAAATGTTATTTTTGCCAAAGAAATCACTCACACACAAAAAATAAAAAATCTTTTTTTTCATTTTTGGCAAAAATAAAAAAATCTTCTTTTCATTTTTGGCAGAAACAAGCGAAAGCATAAACCAAGAAAAAACAAGCACATAAGGATTTATAAAGGCTATACAAGTCGAACAAAAAATACAGATTGTGCTGATGTCAAATCTCCTCTTAACGCAAATACTTGCGCAAGAATATCGACAAAAAATAATCCTCGTGAAACATGCATTTGCAGGCCCGCCAACCCAAAATTAATGGCAGTCTCATGTACTCTCTCAAAAAAAAAAAAAAAAAAAATTTCTTTGATAAAACGCTATAACACAGCTAATAATTGATTTACACCTATTGCCTACAACTTCAGAATTATTCGTACTAATTAAGAGTAAAAAAAACAAAATTTAAATTTTCACTCAAAACACTCATTAATTCACCGAAACTCTTAAAAAATAATTTAACATTCATCTCAACAAAAAAAAAAAAGTTTTACCTCACACTGGGCATGAAGCTTCTCGATATCCAAACTGTCTGTTGATATGATCGATGGATCAACGGTCATGCTGGAGAAGAGGCTACTACCGCCACCATCCAAAGATTTGTCGAACTCAAGTTCCGCAATATGTTGGTCGATATCTGATGGCCACTGGCATTCCAATCCTTGATCTATCAAATTCAGTTCACATAATTCCACCATTTTTCAAAATAATACAACTGGCTGTAGCTTTTGTTGTTGCTGTAAGCCTTCTCTTATCAGTGAATTTTTTAGTATAAAATACACGAGGATGTAATGAATAAATATGGGACAGAAAGGATAATAATAGTAACAGTAATACTAGAACCAGCAGCAGTAGCTAATACTGAATATTTACAGATCCAGATACGTATAAAGTGTGATAAGATAAAGGGCCAGAAAAACGTGAACTCTTAGTCAACAATGCCGCCAGCTCCTAATCGTTTAGAGTCGAATTCGTATCGTGAACCTACTATACACGGTAAGCAGCAACAAGAACAGCACCAAAAGAATTGAAGAACAGCACAGAAAAAAACTGCAACACAACCGGAAACAGATAAAAAGAAAAAATATTTAGTAGTAATTTAAACGGACGATAACCACGTGAAGTTAGGCCTTTTAGGCCCACAGGGCTGAGCGTGAAACTAGAAGAACCAATAACGCCGCCTGCTTCAACTCTGCTCTCTTACTAAACTATCTATGTTTCTGAAAAGGCTGGCTGGCTGGCTACTCAGCGATGCGATCGGACTCTCTATGTCAATGCATATATGTATGTGTGCTCTGTTTCTTTCTCTATCCATCATATATACCTGTAAGAGACAGAGAAACACAGCGAGAGTGCGAGAGAATTTCTTCGCGTCCGCGCCATTGCTGCCGCTGGCTCGACGTCACTGCCCGTCATATTCACTGCTCAACTTAAGGCACTTAGGCGAGGGATTTGGAGAACGGTGGGGGACTGCAGCCACACTTGCTTGATGTGGTTGCTGCTGCATTTGTTCCCGCT